TACAAACACAGCAATGGGGAGGGAATGGGATGCACTGGATAAAACAAGAAGCCTTTACTGGTTTCTTTTCTCTCAGGCACTCTGTCACTGAAAGTGAAATTTGCCAGAATAAAAGCCATGGAAAGTCTTCAGGACTTGATTCAATAATAATATTACCTAAAGGGTGATATTGTCAAATTGACTCCCTGAAATGAAAAATGGGCCAACCCCAGCTGGAGCAATTTTGCAATCCAGCCTGGGACTCTTGGTGCACCTATGGGACCTGTCCCTTACTGGCCCCAAAACCTGCCCCTTCCCGCCAGAGCCCTGCCCTCTTCTCACCATGGCACCCCATTCCCTGAGCATGTAGCTTTGGGGATCATCGAGGTGCGGGGGGGAGCCCTGGTACTGCACAGGGGCAGCAATTGCAGCCCCTTGTATGCTCTGTGGCAGCAGGAGCCACGGGGGGAAGTGGAGCACAGTGGGCGGGGATGCTCGCTCCATTTTCTCCATGGCTCCAGCTTGGACCCTCCACTCCCATGAGGTCATGAGATGTGAGCCAGTGCAATGTGTGTGTAGTTGGAAGGGGGATTAGTCTTGAGTCTGAATTCAAACCCTAGGTTTCCACTGCAGCGTAGACCTACCCAAACACGTCTACTTTTACACAGGTCTGATATCCACATCTCGTGGACATGAGAATCTCTGTGGCTTAAAGAGCTGCTAGATTACAAAATGCTTTGCAAATGGAAAAATGCTGCAATTTCTTAACAAATGTTGGTTTCCTCTGAAATGAGCCTAACTTGCATTAAACATTATATCAGAAAAAAAAGCAAACCAAGAGCCCAGGGTGTTTCCACAGTTGGCTAATCTTGGTCATCAAATGTATCAGAAGCTGAGACTGATTGCACAGCTCAGAATGTCGACATGGGAGAGGAAGGAAATGGGTTTTATTGTGATACTTTGTAGTGATTTAATGCACATGAAATTTAGGGTATGCCCACACTGCAATCAAAAAACCCCAGTTGGCCTGTGCCAGCTGACACAGGCTTGAAGGGCTCAGGCTAAGGGACAGTTTAACTGTGGTGTAGATATTTGGGTTCAAGCTGCAACTTAATCCTTGGGACCCTCCCACCTTGAAGGAACCCAGAGACTGGACTCCAAACTGAGCCTAAATGTTAACTCTGCAGTCAAACAGCCCCTCTGTCTGAGATCCAAAAGCTCAAGTCGGCTGGCATGGCCAGTTGTGTGTGTCTAAATTCAGTGTAGACATAGACTAACAGCAACCCCCCAGATTTAGTAGACTGGAGTTATGCAAAGGTCCTCCCCATAGCTCTGTCAATACACCTCAGTGCTGACATGCAGCACCCCCCTGCTACTCCATTCCAGAGCCTCGCCCAATCAGAGGTAATGTATAGACTGCAATCAGAGGCAAGGCTGCAGCTCAGGTTGGCATACTCATGCTAACTAACCTAGCTAGCAAGGTTCAAAATAGCAAGTGACTGGCATAGATCTGAGCCCAATCCAGGAGCGTGTGTATGTACCCAGGGCTCTGAGCGCACACAGCCCATGCCACTGTGTCTTCACTGATATTTTTAATCACACCAGCTAAATTAAAGGTAGTCTGGGTATGCCTACACAAGCTGCAATTACACCTTGGGCTGCGCTACAGGCATAGCTTGAAACTGACAATTGTTCTACAACATGTGATGTGGATAAAGGAAGACCCAGATGAAATCTCCAGACTCATTTTCCTTGGTAACATGAACTGGCATGTGAACCCAGCCCTCTGGCAGCGAAAGGACAAAGATATAAACCCCCACCCTCAACCTACCATTAATCACAGGAGTGAAAACTGCCATGCCTTCGAAGTTTGGGTCAGTGACTGTTTTGTCCAAGATCAGCCCACCAATGCTGTTAAAATGACACAAAATGGAAGCTTGTTACCAGTCATCTGTTACCAGGTGCAGCATAGAGAGACTGTATGAGGCAGTCTCTCTTTTGTTCTGTATTAGTCCAGCATCTAACACAATGAGGTTCATGACTGGGGTTCCTATGTGCTACCCCAACACCAATAACAATGATAGTTGTACAGGGTGCATTTGACAATGCAGCAGATGTGTCTGGTTTATGGAAGACATTGGTCCATCAAAGTGCCTCTAACAATGGCAGATCCCGAGGGCAATAGAATTTAAAATTTCTATGTCACTATCAATTATCACTGGAATCTCAAGCAGGCAGAATTTTTTTCTGGACACTGTCTTGGACCTTGGATTAGGTTGGTTGTTATTGCCTGAAAGAGAAAGAAGGATCTTCGGGGGGTGGAGTGCAGGTAGGGTGGTTCCTAGGTTTACCTGCTGATGCTCATTGCGACAATCACCGGCTGCCATCCAGACTTCAGCACCTCAGCAATGGAAGGACTTTGCTTGGCAACGGCAACCCAAAGAGGAATCATGATAATAAACACAGCGCAGATCAGAGGCGAAAGGTATTTCACATCTGGCATAGAAAAGAAATTCAAAATTAAATGCGATTTATATGCCTCCAAATCCACAACACTGTAAGTCTGATTGGACCAACCATTACATTCTGACCGACTGAAAGAAAGGAAGCAATGCCTGCAACTGAAGTCTTCATGTATCTTTTGCAACATCACATCCTTCAGGTGCTTTTTACCCCCCCACAGTCCATAATTCACCTGTGAAACTCACTGGCACAGGACAGTGCTGAGACCAAGAGATTAGGAGGATTCAAATCAAATTAGATGGCGATATGAATCTGGATGTTTAGGTGGCTTCATTAGATTGGATGAAAATGTATACGGAACATAAGCCCTTTTATTTCAGGGGTATGTCAACTGCGAACTCACTGGAGCTAAAAAGAAACTGTTCCTATAGCAAGTTATGCCATAAATAGATATAAGGGGGCATTTCACGCCTTCCTCTAAACCACTGGCTATTAATGGCGGGAAAACAGATGGACAACTGCTGTTTCCAGTGCTCCATACATCAGACAGTGAAGGGGCAGGAATGTACTGCTTCATTCATGTGCATTTCTATTAACTACTTTTCCATTTGGTAGCGGCATAACCTTGAAACAACCTTCAGAAGCAAATGGCGCTTAAAAATGCTGCCCTACAAGAAAACAAACATGACTCAGCACCAGAAGGAAGCACCTCCAAGCAACAGGGATTGTGCCAGGCCTTTTGATATGCTAATAATTTTTCTACAGGGCTCTCCATCTGCTCTCTGTATTAAGGCAAAGATGGGCCAGCTGCAACACAGTTTGGGCAGGTATTCCAATATAAAGCAAGCTTAATACATGCATTTTCCCGAAGGTGTTGTCAGGGCCCTAGGGTAGAAATGTAACACAGCATTAACTTTCTTAGAGTAATATCTTACCCTTATGAAAGCTTTTTTACACAGGGAGGTAAAGTGCACCCACCACCAAAATGCAGCCTCTTCTGGGGTGCAAACAGCAGCTGTTTAACAGTGCATAGCACTTCTCAAGCCAGCTAGGACAGGAAGCAAAAATGCGTGATGGGACATCCAAATGAGTTAGATGCTAAATACCCCCTTGCTTTTTCGGGCATTTGGCAATTAGCTTATTTTTAAACCCCACACAGAGGATTTTCACATCAATAATGTGCAATTCAACTCCTACTGTAATCAATGGAACAACTCCCTTTTGAATCTTTGTGGCAGGCCTTTGCCATCCTTACCCTGTAGTATTTTATTAAGCAAGGACTCCAATTATCACTGTCGAGTTATGTACTACTCAGTGGGTATGTCTTCATTACAACATTAATTTGAACTAACTTAGTTTGAATTAGTTAATTCAAACTAAGCTAATTCGAACTAATGGATGCAGACGAAAAAACTAGTTCGAATTAGCGTTTTGCTAATTCGAACTAGCATGTCCACATTAAGTGGACCCTGAACCGGGGTTAAGGATGGCCGGAAGCAGTGCCAGCAGGGCATCAGAGGAGGACTTAGAGCGTGGAGATGCTGTCTCAGGCTAGCCGAGGGCTGTGCTTAAAGGGACCCGACCCCCACCCCGGACAGACAGTTCTCAGGGGTGCCCCGCTTGCAAAGCAGTCCTGGCTTGGAGTGCCCGGACTACTCACACTGGGCACATCACAGCACCCAGCCATCATCCCGGCTGCACTTGCCGCAGGCTGCCATCTGGGGAGAAGGGGCAATTGGGGGGGCTGCAGGAGAGCTTCCACCCCCAGAAGCCCGCAGAGCCAGCCCAGTCCTCCCCATCGGGGGCTCGTGCCCCATTCCTCCCTCACCTCCTTACACTTACGCTTCCCTAGCCCCTCTTCTTGATGTATAAAATAAAGATTACATGTCTTCCAAAATGGAATCTGTCTTTATTGAACAAAACTGGGGGAGACTGGGAAAAGGAGGTGGGAGAGGGGAAGAGAGAGGGTGGGAGAGGGGAGGGCAACTAAAATGATCAGGGGTTGGGAACAGGTCCCATATGAAGAGAGGCTAAAGAGACTGGGACTTTTCAGCTTAGAAAAGAGGAGACGGAGGGGGGACAGGATAGAGGTCTCTAAAAGCAGGAGTTGGGTGGAGAGGGTGCATACAGAAAAGTTCTTCATTAGTTCCCATAAAGAAGGACTAGAGGACACCAACGGAAAGGAATGGGTAGCAGGCTTTAAACTAGTAACAGAAAATTGTTCTTCACAAAGCAAAGAGTCAACCTGTGGAACTCCTTGCTGCAGGAGGCTGTGAAGGCTAGAACTAGAACAGCGTTTAAAGAGAAGTGAGATAAAGTGATGGAGGTTGGGTCCATGGAGTGCTATTAGCCAGGGGGAAGGTGTGGTGTCCTTGGCCAAGGTTTGTGGAAGGCTGGAGTGGGATAGCACGAGACAAATGGCTTGGTCACTGTCTTCGGTCCATCCCCTCCAGGGTCCCTAGGGTTCCCCTCTTAATGTGGACATGCTAGTTCGAATTAGCAAAACGCTAATTCGAACTAGTTTTTTAGTCTGGATGCGTTAGTTCGAATTAGCTTAGTTCGAATTAACTAATTCGAACTAAGTTAGTTCGAATTAGCGCTGTAGTGTAGACATACCCTAACTCTGTGGTCCAGGCATGAAAACTTCAGAGCATAAGATCTGCAGGATCACACATCCTGTCCCACATCCCTCTCACCTCCACTGAAATGTAGAAGAGTTTGGAACCCTGGGAATTAAGAAAACCGACCAATTGGGTGATGTCACACTAGTGGCTGACACAATGTAACCAATCCCCTGCCAGAGGGCTACTGAAAAAAAACCCACCAGAATTATGTCCTTAGCTGCCGTGACAGCCCCTTACATGTATTGCTACTCTCTACTGTATTTGTATGTTATTTTATATGTGATCACCTTATTCTATAATGCAGTCCCTGAGAGGTATTACTGGCTGTGGAGATTCTGAAAGACACCAGTTTTGTCTAGGCAGATGAGACAGCATCTTGGGAAACTGCACACTGAATAAATACATATATGAAATCTAGGAGAAGTAGAATGAGTTGACTACTGGACTTCTGCTGGTCTTGCGCTCTCTCTTTGGGATGTGGATTCAATTGTTCCCCTATCTGTGAGTACGTAGAATAAACTGTTGTAATAGGAAACAGCTGTCTGTCTCTCACTTTCAGATCTCAGTTTTCAGTGAAAGCTTGGGTTTAACCGTTACAAATTTTTAAAAACATCCTCAACAGATTTTAAAAAACCATCCAACCCTTAATCTTTTCTCTTTCAAGGTCAGGACTATGGTACCTGGCTTCAGAGGTGTAGCGAAGGGGGAGCGGGGGAGGACAATTGCCCCTGGGCGCCATGCTAGGGAGGCACCAGGCCAGGATGAGAGCAAGCGCACGCTGCGCCGGCTCACCTGACGTTCATGAGCGGCGAGTTCCATGGGCTTGTGGTGCCCGTGCTCCAGCAATATTCAGAGCCAGGGGCCCTGCTCCAGCAATATGTGGAGCTGGGTCTCTCCCCCAGCCCTGCCTGGAGCGGGCCCCAGCCCCCACCTGCTGGCCTACCTGTGCGTCCTCCCACCCCGGCATCAGAGCGGCCCCCTCCCAGCCCCGGACCATCCCTGCTGTGCGTAGCTTTCAGTCTGGCTCCCCCTTGCCGGCGCGCGCTGCTGGCTG